CTTGCACATTTTAGGATCTTTTCTTTATGATTCACTGTGGAGAGTTTAATTACAACGTGTCGTGGTGAGGATCTCTTTTGGTCGCGTTTATTAGGGGTTCTGTGAGCTTCCTGTACTAGGATTTCTCTGTCCTTCTCCAAACCTGGGAAATTTTCTGCTAATATCTCACTAAAAAGGCCTTCTAATCCTTTCTCCCTCTCCATGCCTTCAGGAACTCCTAGAATCTGAATGTTGGGTTTTTTAATAGTATCCTGAAGATTCCCGACAATATGTTTTAGATTTCTAATTTCCTCTTCTTTTCTTTGGTCTGACTGTATCCTTTCCTGTTCTCTGTCTTCTAAGTCCGATATTCTCTCTTCTGCTTCACCCATTCTGTTTGTAAGGCTCTCTATTGTGTTTTTCATTTGATCTATTGAATTCTTCACTTCAGTCACTATCACAGTTTCCTGTTGTACTAGTTGTTTCATTTCATTTTGATTTCTCCTTAATATTTCATTTTCACGAGAGAGATTTTCTATCTTGTCCATTAAGGATTTGTGTAGTTCCAGAATTTGTTTTTGAGAACTTCTTAATGTTCTTATCAATTTTTTGAGATCTGCTTCTTACATTTCTTCTATGTCATCATCTTCATAATCTTGAATTGGGGTGTCTTTTTCATTTGAGGGCGTCATGGTGACTTCCTTGTTTTTATTACCTCGGTTTTTGCGTTATTTGGCATATTGGAGATATTTGGTTTCTTCACTGTGGTGCTTTTTCTTGTTATACTATGACTCTAGATTAAGTGGACTATCTGTTTTTGATGGAGCCTTAGGGCTTGAGATGGGTGTGGCCTGAGAGCTCTGTTTGGTGTGCCAAAGGTGACACTCCCAGGTTAGGTGTGGTAAACCTCTCTCTCTCTCTCTTTCTTTCTTTTTTTTTTTTTTTGATTCAAAAGGGAAGTAATTCCGCACAGCTGAATGAAGTTGGAGGTAGTTAGCAGGCAAATGATATACCCACAGGAGCCAGAGATCAGAAGCTCTTTCCCAAGACCCCCACAGGGAATCTGTTCGGCCCTCAGAGTGGGCTCAAATTCTCCTTCAGCCTCCCACTGGGTTGCCAAAGTTACAGAATTGTAGCGTCTCTGGAGAGTGCTCACGTGAATTCCGTGAGTTCTCTCCCCCACCGTCTCTTCTTTCACAGTCTCAGTTCAGTAGCACCACAAATTTACTAGGTCCTAATCTCCTGTTAATTCGCCCCGCCCAGAGTCAGGTTTTTCTGCTAGGCTCAGGGCCGGTGCAGACCTGAGGTCGCTCTGCTTATGATGTATGTCCAAGATGGCGCCTGCTCTTTGTCTTGCTCGCCCTTGAGAGGTGAGCGGAGAGAGAGAAACCCGTGTCCGTACTAGTCACCTTTTTTTTTTCTCTCTCTCTCTCTCTCTTCCAGTTAGCCTTGTGAACTTCCCCCCCGGGGGTCGTTCCCTCTAATCTCCTCTCTCCGCTTGCCTGCCGGTGTCTCAGGCTATTGAGGTTCGGCTCACCTCGCGTTCCAGCGCTGGTGTGCTGAGTCTGCCGCTGATGTCCCGAACTGTGGGCTCCCATGCTCTCCACGCAGGTCCGCTGTGAGTCACGCGTTCCGGAAGAGTTTCTTCTGCTGTTTCCTCCCCTACTCTTCCTTGAACCTGCAGTATCTCCACTTTTATTAAACTATCTCTCCCCAGACTATCAGTGTGCTCCCTTCCTATTCCGCCATCTTGCCGGAAATCTCTACTTACATTTCATCTGTTCTTTTTGTCTAACTTCTTGAGGTTAATATATAATTTATTTACTTATTAATTTTTGCTTTAGAAAATAACTTTTTAATGCTTTGCATTTAAGTTAGAAAAACCTCCCTCTTAAGGGATATGTGATATTTTCATTATTTTTATTATAAATATTCTGCAATTTATCTTGATCTCTCTGACCATGAGTCATGTGTGAGAGAGAAATCTAAACATCTTTAAGCTGTTATATCCATATTTTTGTTCTTTTCCCTCTAAGTTTATTTATTATTTACTACAGTTTTCAGGTATGTGTTATAATTGTGATTATTTACTGTGGCCTAATAATATTTGCCAAATTTTTATAAATAGCAGACACTTTCTAAGGTTGATTTCTGTTTTAAACATATGTAATATGATTCTTTTAATTCACTCTCTGTTATTAACTAAGTTACTGGGGTCTTCTTTATACTTATAATAATTACTAATACTCTATTTAGAATATCCCAATACCAGACAGGTGAACTAAAATCTGCTACTCCCAGCATGGTTTTTTAAATTTATCCTTTATCATCTATCAATTGCCTTAGGGCTGTATTTTTGGTATGGTGGTTTTTCACAATGTCATGTCTTTATTGCAGTCTGCTACCTTTATTATTACAAAGGTAATAATTGCTGTTCCCTTCCAAAAAAGACATGCTGACGTCCTAACCCGCAGTCCCTCAGAATATGACTTTGCTTGGGAACCGGGTCTTTGCAGAGGGATCTGAGCTCAGATGGGGTCACGAGCGTGGGTTTACTCATAGTAGGACTGGAGGTGACCTCTCACAGGGGACGAGGTACACACAGGGACAGCACTGGTGGACACCAAGGCAGACATCAGAGGGCTGCATTTCCAAGCCAAGGCGTGGTAAAGATCCCCAGCAAACCCACCAAGCCAGGAGAGGGCATGGAGAGGGTTCTGCACCAGAGCCTCAGAAGGGACCCACCCTGCTCTCTCCTCCAGGTGGATCCTGGCCTGTTGTTTGATCTGTGCCCGCTGCTGCACTTGGTGACAGAAGCCACATAAAACTCATCCACGTTACTCGGCTTCGCTTAATGTTTTTTTTGCCCTGAGTTCAAACTTACATATTTAAATTGGATTGTCATTTGCTTGATATGTCCTTGAGGATCACTTTATTTTCAGCCTTTCGAGCCTCCTGAATGTTAACACAGTTTGGCCCTGCCAGGCACGTGGGGAGAATCTCAGAAGCTGCATTACAATGGAGGATCCCATGTGAGTGCATGTGAGTCCTCTGGCTCCCTCCGTGAAACCCAAGGCGGGCGCATTTCTCCAGTCCCTTCCAAGACGTCCTCTCCCAACCCGCCCCTGGTCTGCAGCCCAGGAGCCTCCTTTTGAACCCGCCAGCAACCCGAGTTCTCTTCTCCTCTGGTCTGTTCTCTCTGCCTAGGGCCCTGTCCTCTCCCCCTTCAATAACTCCGTGTGCCAGATCCTCCGCAGTTTCAGAACTTTCGTGTACAATCGTCCAGTCAAATGGGCTCAACATCCCAAACCACCAAAACTAGCAGACCCATCACCCGAATTTAGCTTGTTTATGTGTGTGTAGGTGCACGTGTGTGTGTGCCACCACCAGCCCCGCTAGGAATTAAGTTCCACCAGCCCAAGAACCTCCAGTATTTTTCACTGTCTGACTTCCGCCCGACGTGAGGCTGACGACAACGGTTGGCTGAGAGAAGCAGGGAAATGACAAAGGAAGGAGGGAAGATGGAGGAAAAGATGAAATCTGTAAGCCATCTCCTTCTCTGCCCGTTCTTTTTTTTTTTTTTTTTTTTTTTTTTTGACAGGCAGAGTGGACAGTGAGAGAGAGAGACAGAGAGAAAGGTCTTCCTTTTCCATTGATTCACCCTCCAATGGCCCCTGCAGCCGGCGCGCCATGCTGATCCAAAGCCAGGAGCCAGGTGCCTCCTTCTGGTCTCCCATGCGGGTGCAGGGCCCAAGCACTTGGGCCATCCTCCACTGCACTCCTGGGCCACAGCAGAGAGCTGGACTGGAAGAGGGGCAACCGGGACAGAAACCGGCGCCCCGGCCGGGACTAGAACCCGGTGTGCCGGCTACGCAGGTGGAGGATTAGCCTAGTGAGCTGCGGCGCTGGCCTGCCCATTCTTTTCTAAACACTTGATTGACATCCCTGCCCATCTCAGCCACTCCTTTCAATGCCAGAGTCTTTTTTTCTAATCTCGAATTTCCTCCACCCTCCTGCTATTCCGACCAGATGGTTACCAGCTCTCACAGGTGGCAGGGACACATTTTTGTTCACTGAAGAAGGTTTTGTTGGTAAGGAATCAGTGATCACTCCTTCCCCACTGGGTCCCGATGTGCAATGCCCATAGCGTGGTGCCACAAGTCTCACTCCAGTGACCCTTAGGACCTGCCCAGCATGGCTCTTAGGGCCAAGCATTTGAGCATTTGTGGTGATCCTAACAGAGAAACTCCTGGTGTAGTCAGAGCCACCAGGTCTTTGTGCAACAGGTCACATCCACGGCGCTGATCTGAAGCCAGGAGCCAGGTGCTTCCTCCTGGTCTCCCATGCGGGTGCAGGGCCCAAGGACCCGGGCCATCCTCCACTGAACTCCCGCACTGCGCTGATCTGATGGCAGGAGCCAGGTACTTATCCTGGTCTCCCATGGAGTGCAGGGCCCAAGGACTTGGGCCATCCTCCACTGCACTCCCGGGCCACAGCAGAGAGCTGGCCTGGAAGAGGGGCAACCGGGACAGAATCCGGCGCCCCAACAGGGACTAGAACCCGGGGTGCTGGCACCGCAGGTGGTGTATTAGCCTATTGAGCCACAACGCTGGCCTACAATATACTTTTAGTATCATTGTGTTAACAAAAAGTATGCATTTACAAAAGCTATGCTTTTTTACTCTCATCAAGGTTCCTCCCATCAGAGAGGCTGACAATATGGGATGCTAGTGTCAGTCACAGGCTACAGGCTAAGCCCGCTGCACCACAGTGCCAGCCCCTAGAGGCTGACAATAAATACAGCAAATAATGCCAAGCAACTGTATCTACTATGGAGGAAAACCATGGCGAACGGAGGATAGACAGCGGTAGTGGCCAAGAGGAGGCATGGCTGTGAGATAGTGGCACCTTCGAGAAGACTGCCAGTGAACACCAGCGTTTATGGGTTGGACGATTTTACACTCACCGATGGTGATCACGCCCCTGGCTGAAGCTGGTTAGTAAACAATGAATGGACTTACCAACACTTTCCCCAAAAAGGTCTGTGCCGAAAGCAGCATTTTTATGTGATCACGGACTAGTCCATAAGAATAAAGCCTTCTTAACGGGTTATGGCCCATGCTGCCTGGTGAGAAGAGTTCCTGCAAGCAAGAGAAAGGAATTGGCAGAGTGAGCGCTACGCATCTCACAGAACACGATCTCTTGTATTTCTGTTGATGGGACCTCTGAATCAGGGCGAAATCCCACTGTCTCACCAGCCCGGGGAAGCCTGAGGTGCCTACTCAGTGTTTCATGGGCTGAGTTGTAGTGGGCTTGCATTTTGCTTGTTTTTGGCACAGCTTTTGCATCCGGAGTTTGGCAATGCTCGCCCTGTTCAGTCCCAGACCCTTCAACCTGACCTGAGTGAACCCTGGAGGCAGCACCCTTCTTCCTGCTCTGGGAGTGTTTCTACACTCCCTTCAAGATTACACACACATTGATTTTAGATGATTATTTGAGTATCGGCTTTGCCAAGAAAGGAGGGAGAAGGAAAGTTTCAGTAATTTCTCTTCCTTATCTGGAATCAGATTCTCCTGAAGTTATAATTCTTCCTGACACTGCTACATTTGAAATTTATGATAATCCTGTGCAGTAGATGAAATGGGAATGATTCAGTCATTTTTTACATTATTAAGGAAACCAAGGTGGAGAGCGGGATCTGGCCATGAGAAAGGGCTTGGGATTGAACTTCCTTCTCCAAGTCCACCAGCGTGGCCACCAAGAAGGACGCTAATGAGAAATGGCCATGCCAAGCTCACTTGAGTCTCTGACTAGCAGAGAAGGTCATCTCATGGGGGGCCAGGGTTTCAAAATCACTTCCTGTTTTACTCAACATAGTCTACAGGGAGGGAAGGGAAGTTTCATTAAAAGGCTCGTGGCAGAGTTCACATCTTGACCTATGACCTGTCCTCTGAGACATGCCATGCCTCAACTGCATTGTCTGAGGACTGATGCAAACAGTGTTCAGGAGCCACCATGGTGGTGCAGTAGGTTAAGCTGCTGCTGGGACGCTGGTGTCCCATGTGCAATGCTGGTGCGAGGCCTCTCTGTTCCCCTTTGAGCCCAGCTCCCTGCTAATATGTTTAGGAAGGCAAGTGGAGGCTGCCCCAAATACCTGGGCTCTTCCACCCATGTGGGAGTCTTAGATAGAGTTCCAGATGCCCGGCTTCAGCCAGACAACCCCTGGCTGTTACATATTTGGGGAGTGAATCACCAGATGGAAGACCCACCCCCCCACGCTGCCTTTCAAATAAATAAAAAATAAATCAACATATAAATAAATCTTTAGGAGCTGGAGCTGTGGACAGCAGGTTAAAGCCCTGGACTGCAGCGCTGACATCCCATATGGGCACTGGTTCGAGTCTGGCTGCTCCACTTCCATTCCAGCTCCCTACTAATGCTACTGAAAAAGCAATGGAAGGTGGCCCAAATCCTTGGCCCCTGAACCCATGTGGGAGACCCAGAAGAAGCTCCTGGTTCCTGGCTTCAGATTGCTTCAGCTCTGGCCATTGCAGCCTTCTGGGGAGTGAATTAGCAGATGGAAGACCTCTCTCTGTCTGTCTGTACCTCTCTATGTAACTCTGTCTTTTAAAAAAAATAAAATATAATAATTCAATATGACGTTAATATGGGGCATACATTTAAAATTTCATTATAGAATTGGAGGTACCTTCTGCAGAGAAACAAATTGACGCTAAGATATAATAAAAATCGGCCGGTGCCGCGGCTCACTAGGCTAATCCTCTGCCTTGCGGCGCCGGCACCCCGGGTTCTAGTCCCGGTGGGGGCACCGGATTCTGTCCCGGTTGCCCCTCTTCCAGGCCAGCTTTCTGCTGTGGCCCAGGAGGGCAGTGGAGGATGGCCCAAGTCCTTGGGCCCTGCACCCCATGGGAGACCAGGAGAAGCACCTGGCTCCTGCATTGGATCAGCGCAGTGCGCTGGCTGCAGCACGCTGGCCGCGGCAGCCATTGGAGGGTGAACCAACAGCAAAAGGAAGACCTTTCTCTCTGTCTCTCTCTCTCACTGTCCACTCTGCCTGTCAAAAAAAAAAAAAAGATATAATAAAAATCACCCTTTTGGATGCAGCAAATTCCATAAAATGCATACTTAGGGAGAAATCATAACTCTCCAAAGAATTTTTAAAAGAACTTTTCACAGTACCTAGGGTTGTGACTTGGAGAAAAACAGAACACTGTCAACTTAATTAAATGTAACGCATTATTGAAAAGCCACTCGGTTTTTATCAAATCCTCCCGGTTCAAGGGCAGAACAGTGTAGTTCTGGTTGCTCAGGTACCATTTAACATTTTGTACCATTTGTTTGATATTTGAAATTGAAAGTGCATCTGGACTGGAGCATAGAAATGATTACACTCATAAGAAAAGGAGAACAGAGGAAATGTGAATTGACAAATGTGCTCCCACATTGTTGCCATCATATAAGAGAACATAGTAAGAAGGGACATTTCCTGCAACAGAGGAATAAAGAGAAGTGAAGCTTCTATAAATTTAATTGTTCATTAAAACACTAGGTTCCTGGAGCTGGCACTGTGGCACAGTGGGTTAAACCCTGGTCTGCAGTATCGACATTCTGTATGGGCGCCAGTTCAAGACCCGGCTGCTCCACTTCTGATCCAGCTCTCTGCTATGGCCTGGGACAGCAGTGGAAGATGGCTCAAGTCCTTGGGCCTCTGCACCCACGTGGGAGACCTGGAAGAAGCTCCTAGCTCCTGGCTTTGGATTCACGCAGCTCCATCTGTTGAAGACCTCTGTTTCTCTCTCTCTCTCTCTCTCTCTCTCTCTGCCTCTGCCTTTCAAATAAATAAATTAATTTAAAAAAAAAAACACCCACTACATTCCTAAATCTGTATAAATGAAATGCATGGAATTTGTATATCTTAAATTAAAAAAAAACTAAAAAAATTATTTTCTAAAAAGGTAGAAACCAGGAGGCAGATCCACCAGACCCATTATCCAGATCCCAGAATTTGTCCTCTAATTTTTTTTACAAGTCTTTAATGTAGAAGTAACCATTGATAGAATGAACTTATTTAGCAACAAAAGCCATGAGCTTCAACACTGGATACTTTTCCCATACAGAAACCTAAATTCCATATAACCTTAACATTCTACCAAGCTACTATGCATTGTGTACTTTAATCTCAATTTTTGGCATTAAGAAGGATGATTTAAGCAAATTCTCAATGTTAATTACAGCGAGTGAATAAAATATGTTCCATTATGCAAATTACTGTGCTCAATCAGACAACAAATCAAAGTTTGAGAAACAGAAATGCAAGCCAACTGCACAGGGCCTAGTAAGTCACAGTGCCTGTGACCCCTGGGGACAGAACTGTCACTGTAGCCTTCGAGAGTTTTCTCTCAGGCGTCTGCTTTGGGGGCTGGAGGGCTAGTGCAGGGGTGTGGGAGATGGGTGAGTTCCTGGGCTAGTGCAGGGTGTGGGAGATGGGAGTTCCTGGGCTCATGCAGGGGTGTGGGAGATGGGTGAGTTCCTGGGCTCGTGCAGGGGTGTGGGAGATGGGTGAGTTCCTGGGCTTGTGCAGGGGTGTGGGAGATGGGTGAGTTCCTGGGCTCGTGCAGGGTGTGGGAGATGGGGGAGTTCCTGGGCTAGTGCAGGGGTGTGGGAGATGGGTGAGTTCCTGGGCTCGTGCAGGGTGTGGGAGATGGGGGAGTTCCTGGGCTCGTGCAGGGGTGTGGGAGATGGGAGTTCCTGGGCTCGTACAGGGTGTGGGAGATGGGGGAGTTCCTGGGCTCGTGCGGGGGTGTGGAAGATGGTTGAGTTCCTGGGCTCGTGCAGGGTGTGGGAGATGGGTGAGTTCCTGGGCTCGTGCAGGGTGTGGGAGATGGGGGAGTTCCTGGGCTCGTGCAGGGTGTGGGAGATGGGTGAGTTCCTGGGCTTGTGCGGGGGTGTGGGAGATGGGGGAGTTCCTGGTTAATGCAGGGGTGTGGGAGATGGGGGAGTTCCTGGTTAGTGCAGGGGTGTGGGAGATGGGGGAGTTCCTGGGCTCGTGCGGGGGTGTGGGAGATGGGTGAGTTCCTGGGCTCGTGCAGGGGTGTGGGAGATGGGGGAGTTCCTGGGCTCGTGCAGGGGTGTGGGAGATGGGGGAGTTCCTGGGTTTGTGCAGGGGTGTGGGAGATGGGGGAGTTCCTGGCTGTAGTTCTGGGTGGCTTGGTTTGTTGTGTTCGCACATCATAGGAGTCAGTGCACTCATACAGCAGCCCAAAAGCTTCATGTATGACTGATTTGCACAAGTGGGGTTGACATCAGTATCTTGTATCCCTTTTGCCTCCCTGGTAGCATCCATGCGATCCTTTTTAACATGCAAAGGAGCGGCATAAACATAATGTTTATGGACTTTTTCGGAACAGCCAACACAGTTTCCAGTTTGCAGGCATCATCATCATGAGACATTGCTTCTCCAGCAGTGCGGGGAGGGGAGGCCCAGCCCTGGACCAGAACATGATGGCATGGTGGCCGGTGGTCCTATAGGCCACCCTTTCAAGGTACCAGGCCACAGGTGGCTCTGTTCCCCCCCCCCAATAAAAACAGTGCAGCCTAAGTCATCAGCCAAACACAAACATGTGCCAAACCCGCCTCTGGTCTCACACAGAAGGGTCCGGAATAGGGAGACTGACCAAGATAATTCCTGTTCCATTGATGGTTTGCCATTTTCTAAAGATGCTCCAGATGAGCCTGAAGATGAATAAGATGATGAGGCCGGTGAAGAAGGTAACGAAGGGGGTGAGAATGAAGGCTGCTTGGATCTCAGAGGTGCAGGACATCTTCCCCAAGGGCTCCCCACTTGCTTCTTGCTGCTTCGTGAGAAACATCGTGAGACGGAATTGTCAGCCTGCTCTGTGATGTCACCATCCCACAGCAACCGGTCCAGGAACTCGAGTTCTTGGCAGTGCCGGGTCCTTTTAAAGCAGGGGTGGTGCCTAGGAACGATAAATCAACAAATCGGTTGGCTGGGAGTGGCAGATCTGCTCTTGTTTCTTCTGCAGCATCTTGCAGAACCTGTTGACATTTTAAAACAATGCATGTGGTGGAGGAGACGGCTGTGCAGTGAGGGCAAACACACAGAAAGCAGTCAGAAACTAGAGAGGCATTTAGTGCCTAATTACACCTCGGGAGTGTCTGCCCTAAGGAGAGACAGGAGACCAGATACTGCTTTTAAGGAGGAGACAGTGAATAGACCAGGTAGAATTTCCAGGATGGAGACAGAGAAAGTTATCCTAGATGAGAAATGCCCAGGAAATGCAGGAGCAAAAAAATGTGCAAAGGGGAGCCGGTAGCAGAAGTGATTCCTCTGGCATCTAATCACTTTCCAACTCCTTTACAATAACAGTCCTGGGTGGTACATATTTTAATGCCTAATGCACTCAGGATGCGAATAAACTTGTCTTAGATTGCAGAGTGAATCAGGAATACAAGTCTTGACCCTTTGATTCCTAAGAAAGGGTCTTTCCTCAAAGCCACGTCTCCTCTTGATTTCAAGGTCTGATTCTGTATAAGAAATAGAGATTCACATATAAATGTCTAAAGAAAAGAGACGAAATATCAGGAGAAAAGCCAGTACCATTTATCTCGTGTGATAGGGAAACAGAAATTAAATTATTTTGAGTCTATGAACATAATAAAGCTAAGCACTGTATTTTGCTATAATTGATACAGACTTTGATACCCCTTATTCATAACTCACAAAAGTGATAAGAGGTACTAATTTGTACTAGACAACTGCAGACCCACGTGACCATTCATCATAAAGAAAAAAGTCAATATTTAAAAGCAGTGCGAAAATTCATATCTGCTTTTGCAAATGTAAGTGTTGCAAAAGGATCAAAATATTCATTCTCTTGACTCAATAATTCACATTTAGGTAGCTCTTCTTGGAAACTATGAGAGCAAGCACATAGCCCAGCATCAACATGTTAAATACCCGAGTATCTGCGTTGAGTTCCTGGATCCTGCTCCTGATTCAAGCTTCCTGCTAATGTGGACCTGGAGAGACAGCAGTGATGGCTCAAGTAATTGTGTTCTTGCCACCCACACTGGAGACTTGGGTTGCATTCCTGGCTCCTGACCCAGTCTGGGCCATTTGGGGGGTGAACTGGTGGGTGGGAGTTCTGTCCCTGTCTCTCAAGTAAATTTAAGAAATTAAAAGGCATGGGTGGAGGACAGATACTTGGTCTAGTGGTTAAGATGCTGACTGAAAGGCCCACATCCCATATCCAAGTGCCATCCAGTCCTCGCTTTGCTCCTGATTCTAGCTTCCTGCAAAATACACACCCTGGAAGGCAACAGGTGACAGCTCAAGGAGTTGGTTTCTCTGTACCTACATGGGAGACCTGGATTGGGTTCCTACTCCAGTCTTGATCTGGCCCAGCCCTGGCTGTTTTGGGCATTCCGAGAGTTAATTGGTAGATGGGAGCTCGCTCTCTTTCTCTCTCTGTGTCTCTGTCTCTGATCTCTATTTAGCTCTCCTTCTGTCTCTTAAGTGAGTAAATAAATAAATCTATCCTTAGAGATTGGTCAGAACTTGGAAGAAAGTATTTCAACAAGATTGATTCTTTATTTAATGAAAAAAAAAAAAGTGTGAAGTCATTCATTGGTGGATTATTAACCTGACATTCACAGTATGGAAAATAGAATTAAGTTTATTTTTTGTTAAAGGCAGCAATGTTAAATGGACAATATTACCTTCATAATATTTAAAAAAATACATTCTTAGGAAATGAAAACTGCAAGAAGTTATGATTCAAAATTACCTGTTACCCTATAGTGGTACAATTATAGAAATTTTAAAAAATAGATTTTACCATCTTTTAATAAATATGCACATTTGATAGTAAATGCTTTAAATAAGCCATCTGCAAGTCTGGCTTTTTCTTCCTTCATTTACTTACGACTCCTGAGAAGCTACTCTGCTGTGCCAGGCCCTTACCTTCTGGGACAGAGTCATTGCTCCCAAAGAGCTTGCAAGCAAATGATCAAGTGTGAAACTGCAAATGCATACAAGTGCTGGGAATGGAAATCAGATATTTCTTTTTTTATTTAATAAATGTGAATTTACAAAGTGCAACTTTTGCATTGTTGTGGCTTTCCCCCGTCAACTTCCCTCCCTCCCGCAGCCCTCCCATCTCCCACTCCCTCTCCCATCCTACTCTTCATCAAGATTCATTTTCAATTATCTTTATATACAGAAGATCAACTTAGTATATACTAAGCAAAGATTTCAACAGACTGCACCCACACAACCGCACAAGGTATAGAGTACTGCTCGACTAGTAGTGTTATCGTTAACTCTCATAGTAAAACACATTAAGGACAGAGATCCTACATGGGGAGCAGGTCCACAGTGACTCCCATTGTTGATTTAACAATTGACACTCTTATTTATGATGTCAGTAACCATCCGGGGCTCTTGCCATGAGCTGTCGAGGTTATGGAAGCCCCTTGAGTTCACCAACTCTGAACTTGTTTAGTCAAGGCCATATCACAGTGGAGCTTCCTTCCTGCCTTCAGAGAAAGGACCTCCTTCATTGAGGCCTGTTGTTTCTGCAGCGGTCTGTACAGTCGAGAGAGTTCAGTCAGGTTGTTTTTGGCACACCGGTATGGCTTGCCATGGGTCTGCAAATCGGATCGCTCATTAACGATATCGTATGCACCGAGGCTTGCGATTCCATGAATATACTAGTAATAGAAAACTATTCGTAAGATCGAGCGTGCGCAGATGGGTGGGGAAACA